GGACATGCCCTTAAAACGCCTTCTCTCCTCCACACAGGGAAGCTGGTCACCTAGGGGCAGTAGTGAGGAGAGAAATGAGAGTACAAGGAAAGCACAGCTGCCTCAGGAGCAATAAAAGCAATTGGAAACTATTACATGTTTTCAAGGAGAAAAAAAAAGAAGACAACCATACAAGCACTGTGGAGTGCTTTGTATCACTGCTCTGTCACAGGTACAGGATGCCTCCAAAAAACGAATTTGTGTACCTTGCAACTGTGCCAGTTAAACACACATATAAAATGTCGGTATAGCCCTAGCTGGTTTTGCTCAGTGAATAGAGCATCAGCCTGCAGACTGAAAGGTACCAAGTTCAATTCCAGTCAAGGGCACAAGCCCAGTTTGCAGGCTCAATCCCCAGTAGGGGGCATGCAAGAGACAGCTAATCAATGATTCTCTCTCATCATTGATGTTTTTATCTCCCTCTCCCTTCCTCTCTGAAATCAATAAAAATATATTAAAAGTTAAAATGTAAGTATAAACTCATACGTGACTGTTGGCAGGACTGAGTCAAGACACATGCTCAAATAGAAGAATTCCGTCCTGGTACATTGCCTATAGCATCACTTTCCTTCCCCTCACTCTTTTTATCCTTCATACTGCAGAGTGCTTCAGTCTGGGCAATGATGTCAACTTGAAATCTCAGACTTGCCCACTATCCCCAGAAACATGCCCTCTTCGGAGGTGGCCTTCTACCAAGTTCCCTCCCCAAACACCACAGTGGTTACCTGGGGGCAGCATTTCTGTGGGCCAGGGCCAGCGCAGGCTACCTGAAACAGGGTCTCTGTCTGTCACCACCTTCCCGCCTAGCAGCTTTCCAGGTCACACTTCTCAATAAGCACATATAGAACACAAGCTTTCTCTTCTCCCACTCATTAAAAATAAACCCAAATGGTACCCAGATTTAGAACATACCTACCAATGAAAAAGTCAGAAGAGAGGGCCCTAACCAGTTTGGCTCAGTGGCTAGAGTGTCGGCCTGTAGACTGAAGGTTCTATTATTACCTGGGTTCAATTCCGGTCAAGGCCACATGGATGGGTTGTGGGCTCGATCCCCAGTGGGGGACATGCAGGAGGTAGCCACTCCATGATTCTCTCTCATCATTGCTGTTTCACTCTCTCCCCCTCTCCCTTCCCCTCTGAAATCAATAAAAAATATATTTTTTTAAAAAGAGCATGGGGGGAGTGCTCACCCACATCATCTTTCCATTCAAAGAGGAACTATTCTGAAGCTGCAGTGGAGTTTATAATTAACAGGCAAACTTTGCCAACGACAGAAATTTCTGGGATCTATTGTAATGGACACTAGAAACTTATTTGAAATTTATATTACAAACATTGGCTGGATTCTTTGGTCGAATCCAAAAGCCTTCTTGTCATACCTCTTGCTCAAGTCTCTTGCAATCACTCAGCCTTCACTGCAGAGAGAACTGGCCTGACCCAACGTAAGGGCAGAAGCAGAGTGGCTGCTCCTCACTCCCGGAGGCCCACGAACCACCCACCACTCGCTCCATGAAGCAGGTGGCAGAAGGCTCCTCTGGCAGAATGCCACATTGCACTCAGATGTATTCTCCACAGCGCCTTCCACAGATCTTTGCCATGGTGGGGTTACCAGGATTTTGTGTCCTTTCTCACCTGCCATCCCAAGCTGAACCTTCTCACCCCAGGCTCTAAGGCAAATGTGTGCCATGAGTCATCCTGAGCGACCAGCTCTGCTGGGATGCGGCCCGACAGGAGGCACGGTCACAGAGAAAACAGGCAGGAGGGCAGACTTCACAGGCCACAGTTAGCTTTGTGGATCTTCTTTTATCATGTGAAACTACTTCAAGAGCTACACTAGAACCCAGTCTCCCCTTTTTATAGGAAAGGGAATTGAGGCTCTAAAATACAGAATCAGAACCCGGTAATGCCTCCACCAGGTCTGTCTGACTCCAGAATTCACCCTCATCTTGCTGTCTCTATAGGAGTAATGGAAAGATCTCCTCCCGGTCCCAAAACGCTCCCTTCAAAGGCTGGTCAGGGTGAACACAAGTCCTTCAGGGGTGGCTGATGTGAAATGGGCCGAAAGGATCTCTAAGCCCTGAGGGAATGTAGATATTCCCAAAGGAAGGAGCATGATGTTGGGCTGTGACCTGCCACTGACCCCTCTGTAAGCATGAGCTGTTAAGACCCTGACTCTCCCCTGGCAGGAGATTACGGTAAGACATCGGAGAGTTTTAACAGGAGAGAAAGATGGCCTTGGCATTTACTCCCTTCTAATACGAAAAACATTTTTAAAAGTAAAAAACCTCCCTGCCACCTCCATAATAATTCTACATTACAGTTCAGTATTATTTTAATTGGTATAACAAAATGAATAGGAATTATTAACTCAATTTATGAATTGGTGACACTGTTAAATGAATTTTTATTTCAGTTAAAAACAAGATGTACTCACATTTGAAAAACTGTAGTATCAGGTGCACTGTATATATAAAATTCTACATATGGACCACGCTACAAATCACTTCCTGGAAATCCCAAAAGCCCAAGGGCCACCAGTCCAGAAACCACTGTTTAGGACACTGGGTGCTGCTGCAGGTGAGCAGGCCTGATAGTGCATGGCAGGGAGGGTTCCCAAGAGGGAACCTAGAGGCAAAAATGGGGGGAAAGCCCGTAAATCATACTTCACATATTTAATGATTCTACCCAAGGGCAGCCCTGCGGCCCTTTAGCCAGTGGGCAGCATGAAACTGATGAAATGTTAACACTGACATTTGGGCAGTGCAACTGCAGAATGTAGCCACTTGTTATGGGAGGAAATAAATATGAGAGAAGGGGGAGTCAGTGTCACAGAAAACATTAGCTCATCCTGACACTAAAATGACTTGCCTAAATAAACATAAAAGAGTAAAATCATCTAGAAAAAAAAACAGTAAGACTATCCTTTAGTGAAGCTTCAGTATCTTCATTTGATTTGGAGTAAGTAAAAAAATCAGCAAGTAACAAAGAAAATGACACATGCCATGCTAATATGAATAATATAGCATGGTCATAATTTAAGACTCTATCTTACAATTTCTCACCAAAAGGAGACTCATTCACGTATCACCACTCCTCTAAATGCAGCTGAAATCCAAGACTAAGAAAGTACCTTATAGACAGAGCTATGCTATAAGCACACGCTGAAGGTCAAACTTAGATCCTTTAGACAGAAAAAGTGGAAGGAGAAAGGACTTCAAATACACACAGCACCTGTTATCATTACATGAAAGACCTTTAAACTTAAGGAATCTAATCAGCCCTCTACCTTCCCAACTTCTCCTCTCTCACCCTCCACCAACTGTCTCACCAAACTACTCAACATTCCCTGAACAAGGACTGCACCCTCATACCCATGCCGTTAATCACTGGGTACACCCAGGTGTGTGCAACAAACATACACACACTTGCTGAAGTCCTACTCCTGCTTCCTATTTGATTGACCTACGAAGGCGAAATGAATCCCTCTCCTTTAATCCCCCCAGCATGTTCTCCAGCTTACCTCACACATTCTTCCTGGAGCCAAATCATTACTCTCTCATTCACTTTCTACTCACAACACCAAGCACAGCGCTTAGCCCAAATTGCTTAACAAAAACATGTTGCAGAAATAAATAAAGGAATAGGCACTTTGGAGGAAAAATTAGAGGGAAATGCTTCTGATATTGATTGTATGAGGATTACCTATTCACAAAACAATCACAGTGTGTTAGCATTCAATTATGGGAGAAAAACCTATTTCTCTAACTCTAAATGAACTAGTCTACTTCCTCCCCTGGTAACTGAAACAACATGTGTTGTCTAATAAGATGAAAAGGGGCCCTAGCTGGTTTGGCTCAGGGGTAGAGTGTCAGCCAGCAGACTGAAGGATCCCGGGTTTGATCCCAGTCAAGGACACATACCTATTGCAACTAGATCCTGGGCCCTAGTCAGGGCACATGCAGGAGGCAACCAATCAATGTTATCTTTTCACATTGATGTTTCTCTCTCTGTCTCTTCCTTTCCCCTTCCACTCTCTCTAAAAATCCATGGAAAAATATCCTCGGGTGAGGATTAACATCAACAACAAAAAGACGAAAAGGAAATGTCTGGTTTTCCATCAAAAGGCTTGAATTAGACACAAAAGTTCCACACAGAAAATCCTACACCAGTGGTCAGCAAACGCATTAGTCAACAGAGCCACATATCAACAGTACAATGATTGAAATTTCTTTGAGAGCCAAATTTTTTAAACTTAAACTTCTTCTATCGCCACTTCTTCAAAATAGACTCACCCAGACCGTGGTATTTTGTAGAAGAGCCACACTACAGTGTTTCCCCGAAAATAAGACATCCTCTGAAAATAAGACCTACTTACAGGTTTCCTTCTGAGTGAAATATAAGGCATCCCCCCGAAAATAAGACCCCCCCAGGCTAAACACGAGAAATTTGGTCCACTGATTCTGAAAGAAATGGAGTCACAAGAAATTCACCAGGAAATTCAGGAATTGGATTGTTATGATGATGTCCCAGAAGATGATGACATGATTGTCATTGAATAAATGAGTAAATTCTTGATACTGTAGGATTCACAGTTTGTCTGGTTTGTGTTGACAAACTGTGAATCCTACAGTATCACTGTACTACCGTACCGTATACAGGTAATAAATTTCCTTTATTTCCATTTAACAATAAATGTGTACCATATTCTTTATGGAAAAATAAGACATCCCCTGAAAATAAGACCTAGCGCATCTTTGGGAGCAAAAATTAATATAAGACACTGTCTTATTTTCGGGGAAACAGGGTAAAGGGGCCAAAGAGCCGCATGTGGCTTCTTGAGAGCCGCAGTTTGCCGACAACGGACCTACACCATTCAGAGAGCCTCCCTGAGAATCTCCCACCAGCACGTTCCCATTTCCAGCCTTCCTCGCCAGCCATCACGGCAGACAAGGCGCACTCACCTGGCTTATTCCCTTCCCTCTCGTGGCCCAGCTGCCCCTTGGTGTTCAGGCCGCAGGTGTACACCTCCCCGTCCTCCAGCAGGAACACGGAGTGGTTTCCTCCACAGGCCACCTCCTTGACACTTCTGTCCGATATAAACCCGCACACCTGCGGCTCGGCCACAATGCCTTGTAGGTTAGTGCTGATTCCAGGCTGGCCCAGAGACCAATATCCCCAACATAACATTGTTCTTATCCTTCAGGGACTCATGTAGCCTAGAAAAAATTTTGTAAAAAAGGTTTTAGAAAATAGGTCAGAGGAAATCGCATTGAGTAACAGATGTAATCAATTTTTAAAAATAACCTCTAATATTCTTCAGATACCTTGCATTTCAGAAGAGCAGTTACTAATAGTGTTAAAAATAGTCATGTTATAATAATAATAATAATAATAATAATAATGCTATTTTTGTGTTTCAGTAAAAAAATTTTTTTAATATATTTTATTGATTTTTTACAGAGAGGAAGGGAGAGGGATAGAGAGTCAGAAACATCGATGAGAGAGAAACATCGATCAGCTGCCTCCTGCACACCCCCTACTGGGGATGTTTTGTGCACTGGGCCTCTAGTAGTTATATAAGTAACATCACAGTACTTACTATACATCATTCACTGTACTAATAAGCATATTATTTCATTATCTAATTTCACCTTCACACCAACCCTGTGCCATAAGTACTATTTTTAGCCTCATTTTCAGAGAAAGCCAGGTTCAGAGAGATTAACAAGCATGCCTAAGGTCACACAGCCGAAAGGAGCTAGAACCAGGCTATGAATCTTAAGCCAATGTCCACAATCTTATCCAGTGGGCTACAATGCCACCCAAGTAGATTTATATGTCACCTACAGGAGCAAAGACCACAAAAATACTTGCAGAATGACTAAATTATAGTCAGTATACAATATAGGATGTTCTGGAAACCTGAAAATAAAGTTACCCTCTAAGAAGGAAACCAACCAGAACTAGGAGATAACAAATGAGATTAGGCAGCATACCATGAGGCCATCCCCTTAACCAGCCAAGTACAATGTGTCTAAAAATATGGTATTAAGAAGCTATGATTATTTGTCTACACAAAAATCTATAAACAGCCCTACCCAGGAGTGGCTTAGTTGGTTGGAGTGTGGTCCCATACTCCAAAAGGTGTTGGGTTCATTCCCAGGCTTTGGTCGATCATCAGTTGAAAAACATGCAGGAGACAACCAATCATGTTTCTCTCATATCAATGTCTATCTGTCTCTCTCCCTTCCTCTCTAAAAATCAATAATATAAAAATCTATAGCCCTTGCTGGTTTGGCTCAGTGGATGGAGTGTTAGCCTGCGAACTGAAGGTTCCTAGTTTGATTCCGGTCAAGGGCACATCCCTGGATTGTGGGCTCGATCCCCAGTGGGGGACTTGCGGGAGGCATCCGATCCATGATTCTCTCTCATCATGGATGTTTCCATCTCTCTCTCCCTCTTCCTTCCTCTCTGAAGTCATTAAAAAATGTATTTTTTTTTAAATCTATAAACAATGCTCACAGCAGCTTTATTCATACTAAACAAAAATGTCCAGCACCACCTCCTTCACTTGCTCTAAGTACAGTTATTCTTCATTATTTGCAATCCCATGCTTGTGAATTTGCCTACTCACTAAAATTGGTTTGTAACCCCAAAATCCGTGCTCAGAACATTTTTGCAATCATTCCCAGACATGTGCAAAGAGATGAAAAATTTCAGTCATCCTGTGCACATGTTCCCAGTTGAAGTCAAATAAGATAATGCTCAGCCTTCTTGTTCTGACTCTCAAAAGTGGTCTTTTTGCCTGCCACATTTTTATATTTTTTGCTGATAACTTTGCTGTATAAAATGTACCCCAAGCACAGAACTGAAGTACTATAGTCATTAAATTCACCTCACCACTTGCCTTGCTTAGATTCCATGAGTAATTAAGCAACATTAAATAACTTGTTTTCCAAGGCAGATCCTACTCTGTAAAAAGAACACCGTCACCAGATGACCACAGCATCTCAGGCTTCTTGGAATTTCTACTTCTTATAATTAATTCAACATCCTGGATCTATCAGCTTCTTATAAATTTGTTCAGCATGAATCAGCCCTTGAGGATCAGCTACACTCTGAAAGCTTTGGACAATTGCAAGCCTGAAGTATGGCCTCATCTTTAACTGACTAATGGAAACCACTTATGACAAAAGACAAATAGGACTATTGTTCAAAATCCTTCCCACCTGAGTTACAGTAAGGGAATCGTCAAGCAGTCAAATAAAAATTGCTTACTAAGAGAAGTAGCTAAACGACAACCACAAATAAGCTGTATTCCTACGAATGGATTATTAATTCTAATAGAATATCTGGTCTAGGTCATTGAGACACTTTGCCAAAACTACAGCAGAAGGCAAGAAAATCATCCTTCAGGAGAAGAGTTCAGTGCACCGAAGAGAAACCAGCCAGTAACACAGCTTTCACCTAAAAGTACCCTCTGATAGAAACCCCCATATCTAGTAGCTAATGGTGTCCATAAATTTAAAAATCCAATTTTAGCAATGTTCTTCACCTGGCATTTGCTATCCTGGGTATTCCCATCCATGTTTTTCTCATTCACTTTTATTCATTTCTCTATCCCTAAAGACTAGAATAGAGCCTACTAAGCATATATTAAGAGCTCAATAAACAGTTGCTGAATAAAGAAAAATATCTATTATTACTGCAAGCCTACTGTTCATCTAAGTCTGTGCTAAAAACTTTACACAGATTACTTAATTTACCCTTTACCATAACCTCAAGACTTAGCAAGGTTAGGTCACTTGCCCAAGAACATGTAAACAAGTAGTTAAGAGACAAAAGTAGGATTCCAACTTATAGGTAACTAGACCTAAGCTAGCCAGAGATGGAAAGGGTAACTGAAGCAATCTCAACAGAGTTAGCCAGGCTTTTTTCCGTGTCTACCCTGACTTATAATAAAACTAGTTCACGCCTGGCCAGAGTGGCTCAGTGATTGAGCGTTGACCTATGAACCAGGAGGTCACACTTCAATTCCCAGTCAGGCCATATGCCCGGGTTGTGAGCTCAATCTCCAGTGTGGGGCATGCAGGAAGCAGCTAGTCAACGATTCTCTCTCATCATTCTCTCTCCCTCTCCCTTCCTCTCTGAAATCAATAAGAATATATTTTAAACAAAAAACTAGTTCACTTACTGGTTCACACACAAAAACATATATCCCTGACACCAGCAAGTTCCATTTCTAAATGTAGAACATGCCTAAAAAGGGCAGAGGGATAGCATCAAAGAGATCACCTTCTTAAGGATACCTTAAGTGTCCACTTAACCTTACCTTTAAGTAAGAAACTTACATTCCGAGCTTTATTTTAATGGCAGCTGGGGCTTCCATGGCCAAGTAACCTTGGTCCTCTGAGAAATAAGTGGATGAAGAAGAGACTAGAAACTAGGTCTCCTACCTCCTGGACTCACCCAGTTCTCTTCACCACATCACAGCAAAAGAAAGTCATTAAGGATTTATTAAGGTCCCTCTCTAGGCAACTTTAGTAACTCTAGTTCTTTATATAAATTACTAGAGGCCTGGTGCACCAAATTCATGCACGGGAGGTCTGGGGGTGTCCCTTAGCACAGCCTGCACCCTCTCCAATCTGGGACCACTTGAGGGATGTCCGACTGCCTGTTTAGGCCCGATCCTGCTGAAATTGGACCTAAACGGGCAGTCGGATATCACTCTCACAATCCAGGACTGTTGGATCCCAGCCACTCACCTGCCTGCCTGCCTGCCTGCTGCCCCTAATGGCTTCTGCCTGCCAGCCTGATCACCCCCTAACCACTCCCCTGCCAGCCTGATTGACGTCTAACTGCTCCCCTGCTGGGCCAATTGCCCCTAACTGCTCTTCCCTACGGACCTGGTTACCCCCAACTGTCCTCCCCTGCCAGCCTGGTTGCCCCCAACTGCCCTCCCCTGAAGGCCTGGTCCCCCCAACTGCCTCCCCTGCAGATCTGGTCCCCCCCCCAACTTCTCTCCCCTGCAGACTTGGTTGCCCTAACTTCCCTCCCCTGCCAACCTGGTTCCCCTTAACTACCCTTCTCTGCCGGTCTGGTCACCTCCAACTGCCCTCCCTTGCAGGCCTGGTCCCTTCCAACTGTCCTCCCCTGCCAGCCTGGTCACCCTCAACTGCCCTCCCCAGCAGGCTTGGTCCCCCACAACTGCCTCCCTACAGGCTTGGTTGACCTAACTGCCCTCCCTGACAACCTGGTCATCCCCAACTGCCCACCCCGGTAGGCCTGGTCCCTACCAACTGCCCTCCCCTGCAGGCCTGGTCCCCCAACTTCCCTTTCCTATAGACCTGGTCCCCCAGGCTGCCCTCCCCTATAGGCCTGGTCCCCCCCCCCCCCTCAACTTCCCTCCCCTGTAGGCCTGGTCCTCCCCCAACTACCCTCCCCTATAGGCCTGGTCCCCCCCCAACTGCTCTTCTATGCCAGTCTGGTCCCCCCAACTGCCCTCCCCTGTAGGCCTGGTCACCCCAACTACCCTTTTCTGCTAGCCCTATCACTTCTAACTGCCCTCCCTTGAAGGTCTGGGTCCCTCCCAACTGCCCTCCCCTGCTGGCCTGATCATCCACAACTGCCCGCCCCTGCCAGCCATCTTGTGTCCACATGGGGGCAGCCATCTTTGTGTGTTGGAGTGGTGGTCAATTTGCATATTACTTTTATTATATAAGGATCTTTTTGAATCCTCTTATTAATTCTATAAAGTAGATATTATCTCAATGTACAAGATGAGGAAACTGAGGGTCAGAGGAATCAAGTAACTCACCACAGGTCACACACTTGGCATTTGGACAAGGAGCCAGATGGTTACCCCTCACCCTGCAGATCTGCAAGTTAAGGAAATAAAAAGCATTAGTATGAAACTTTACAAAAATACCTTCATGTTATTGAAAACAAATATTCCCCATGGTACCTCAAGACTGTTAAATACCAACAAAAGCCTTATGAAGCTATCATCTCTAAAAGTGAACTAGAGACATAAGTAGCACCTTTAAAAATTCCTGGCAGTTGTAGCAGATACTAAAATAAAAATGAAATTATTTTTAAATCTCCCATTTAGGTTAAAAAGAGAAATTTTGAAACTACAATTCAATTTTGTCTATTTTCTCCCATGGTTTCCATGTACCACACACATTATAGCTTATTTTGCCACAACTGGTTTTGAAGACTTTCTGGTATCTTCCCTTCCTTCCAACAACGTTTCCTCCATCACAGAAAACAAGATGAGTCTGGGGGGCACCTTTAGTCTCTCAAAAGAAAAAGTCCCTCATGATTTTAAGATCCTGTCATCATAATTTTATTTCTATCTTAAGTAGAAAATTCCATTCCCTTTGGAGAATATTACTTTTATTGCTTAAACTGATGCAAAACTATCTTATATCTCCAGTGGGGGTGCAACCCTATGTATTAAAAATTTTAAATTATTATGCAAATCTTAAGAAGTCTGTTTCTCAGAATGAAATGCCATAACCAGTGGTTCCAAGCACATCATTTGGAACATTTTAGATTGTGTTTGTTTAAAAAAAAAAAAAAAATACAAGCCCAACTGCATACTTTTTGAATAAGCAAAAACTGCATGTTAATCAATCCGGTTTTTCTCCAAGCCAAAAGAGGTATTTTTCCAAAGACGTTTCAAACCTTCCTCCCTGATTTCTGAACTTTCCTGCAGAAGATTCCTATCTCAATGTGTTCAAACAACGATGTGTAATTAATCTATTTTGCTTTAAGGGGGCGGGAGTGTCTAGATTACTCCCCTTTTCTTATTTTAATGACATTCCCCAGCACTCCAGCCCCAGAGTAAAGGAAAGTACTAAAAGAGAGGGACACAGTAGTCTGATTGCTAAAACAAGATCCCTATCTAGTCACTTCATTATAAAAGACTGTTAATCCTCATTTTGTTTCATTTTTCTTCCTTCTCCGTCTGGAGTTAAAAATCAGCTCACTTGATGTTATCAAATCACCAAATGAAAGGTTCCGGAAATAGCTTCCTATTTGTGGAAAGAGCCAGAAAACACACACACACACACACACACACACACACACACACACACACACAATGCAAGAGCTCTTGAATCGTCTTTCCGAAAGCGTTTCAGGTGGAACGATTGCAAGCAGAACCCTGGGAGGCTTTGCTCCGAATTCAAGGGGCTTCTTCACCGGAGCTGATCTCAAAGCTACAGTAGCATGAAAATCAGGAGACAGCCAGAAACGGCGAGCTGCCGAAAGCCACGTTCAAATGCATATTCCTCAGGGCACACAGTGCATTGACTCCAAACCAAGGCACAGATGCTGTGGGTGCCCGGGTGCCGTCCCCACTACACCCCCGGGCTCCTCGGGTTCGGGGCTACCGCCGCTCTGCGTCCGGGTGCGCCCACTCCGCATCACATCGGCCCATAACTCGGAGCGCCCCCCGCCCCCGACCTCCCGGCTCCCACACCCCGCACACGTACGTGTCCACACACACCCTCCCGCGCGCACGTGTCCACACACACACCCGCGCCCAACACCCCGCACACGTACGTGTCCACACACACACACACACACACCCGCGCCCAACACCTCGCACACGTACATGTCCACACACACACACACACACACACACACACCCGCGCCCAACCCCGCCCCGGAGGCGGGCACGGACAGACGCGCGGGCACGGCCCCCGCGAGGTGGGAGGTGCCGGGCGGGCGCCGCGGCCTCACGGGCGCTGTCACCGCGGACGCCGAGCCCCGCGTCCCCGGCGCCAGCTCCTCGCTGCCGCGGGGGTTCCCTCCTCCGGCGCGGAGGCCTCCCCCGCTGCCATCGGGCCGGGCAGCGTCCTTCTCCCGAGCCCCGGAATTTAAATCGGGGGGACAGGCGAGGAGGAAGGGGAGGATCCTCCTCTTGGACTCGCCGCGTCGCAATGCCTCCCAGACCCGCGAACAGTCGGGGCCGGGTTGGGGGCGCTCCCGGTTCTAAGCGCGCAGCTTCCGGCCTCGCGGGGCGCGGGGGTTCTTTGGATCAGAGGGCGAGGGGGCGCCCCGCGGGCACTGCAGACGCCCGGCCCCTCCGCCCGCGCGCCCGGCCGGCCTCGGGTGGCGAGGGAAGCGCCGCCGCCGCCGCCGCCGCCGCAGCCCCGCCGGGCGCCGCGCGCTGACAGACGCGCCCCGTGGAACGCGGGGGCGGCGGCGCGGGGCCCTCCTCCCGGGAACCCCGGCCCCCGCCCCGCGCACCTTGGCAGGCGCTGCACCGCCGCTCGGGGATTCCGACTGTGACAGTCCCTCCGGCCGGACTCCGGGTGTCTCCGCTCCCGGCGTCACAATAATAAGGAAGTTTCCCCGCGAGCCAGCGGGTGGCGGAATGCGCTGGGTGAGTGGCTTCCCTCCTGACCAATGGGCGCCCTCGGGGCGGGGGCCGCCACCAATGGCGACCGCGGACGCGGAGCCGAGGGCGGGGCGGGACGCTCCGAGGGCGGGACGGGCGGAGGGCGGGGAAGAGGCCCAGACCCTGGTGGGAGGAGGCGGGGCGGGGCGGTCCGAGGTGACAGGACCGGTGAGCCCGCTTGGGGGACCGCGGCGTGGGTCGGCGGAGACGCGATGGCTGGACGCACAGCTTTGGCGCGGGAACAGGATTGCATGTCAGTGGAGGGGAACGAGCGGGCTGATCAGCGGTGTTTTTTGTTTTTTTTTAGATCTGCGGTCCGTATCTCGTTGGTGCAGAGGTGGGCGCGGGGAAAGCTAAGTGGCAGCCGCTGAGTTAGTATTGTATTCAGCGGGGCAGCAGGCTGCTGTTTCACTGGCCTTCGGGGGCCTTTAGGAAGCGCGCAGCCCAAGCGCCGAGTTGAGCTGTGGAAGGCTGCAAGGAGGTCGCGAGCAGCCTCGGGGGCCCTCCGGGAGGGTTGCGGGTCCGAGAGGAGAGACGTGCTGCAGAAACAAGGAGGGATCTGGGAGGGAGGGGTGGAGAGTGGCCGCTGGGGAGCACAAAAGAAGTCACTGAGTACATCTTAAATAAAGACACCAATGTGGCCTAAAACCCACTCATTATAGAAGTTTGCCCTTCCTGGCACTGAATTTCAGAGCTAGCTTTGCGTCCTGAAACCTAGGGGGATCCCCTGCCACAGAAACCCTTTTTTTTTGGGGGGGGGGGGGCAAGGGGGTGAGACTCTCACCAAGGTGATGTGTCTGCTGATCCTCCGCAACCATTCCATTTGAAACGCAGAAGCAGAACACTGGACAAGCACTACTTTAGCCCCAAGGAATGACTTTTCTTAATGGAAGAATTTCTGTAACCTGGCTTTTGAACCGGATCCTTTGAGGCCAGACTCTTCACAAAGATATTCAAATCAGGTCAGGTCAGCAGTCACCTGCTCTGAGAATCTAATTGGCTTTGAGCAGAAAAAGGTTTTAAGGAATGGTGTATCTTGGGGATGGAGCACTGTTGGCTGGCATATGAACTCTCAATGATATAAAGTTACCAAATGCTCCTGAGGTAAGGAAGATGAGAGAGCAAAATCTGTCATCATGTAGCTAAGGTCATCTAAGAAAATAATTACAGCTTTTGAAGTTTTAAACACATTAGACACCTTTATAAACACTGGGGACGAGATTCCACAATTCCTTATACTCCAGAAAGGTGGCAGTTTCACAAGACCCAGGTCTCTCACACAGGCATGTGGATCCTCAGAAGAAAGATTCTTGCGATGTGAACTAATGGGACTCCTCATGGTCACCTGAGGGTCCACATTTTATGAGTAAGAGTCTAGCCATTTACTAACACAGGCTCCTCACCCTGTGGGAAGATCTTCATACTGAACTCTATGCTTCTCACAATATATTCTGGTCCTGTACCCTGAGTCAACCACTGTAGATAAACCCCGGTTTCCTCTTTATATCAATGGGTTAAGACCTGCTTCATCTAAACAGAACAACTAGTATACAAATGGTTTTCTTGGTGACAGCTATACCAACCAGTCAGAACTGCACAAGTTGGAAGTCTTATTTGCATAAAATTGGGACCTTGGGCAGAAACTTTGTAATAGACTAGAGGCCCAATGCACGAAATCCATGCACTGGTGGAGTCCGTAGGCCTGGCCAGAGATCTAAGCACAAGCACCTGGCATGAAAGGGCAGGTCCCAGTTGACCTCTGGGCCTGGGTAGAACCTGGGCCCCCACGTGCCCCCCTCCACCTGAGTCATCAGGCTCCCTGCCCAGATCCCTCGGTGCCTCCGAGCCAGGTGATGGCCCCGCCCCCTACCACCTGCCACTGGTCACCATCTGCAGGGCCATCAAAGGGGCTATGGGCCCCGCTCACACTCACCCACCTTGGCTTGGCGCCACCCACCCTTCTGTTCCACCATCCTGCTGTGGTCCCGCTCTCATCGGGGTCCATCAAGGCTGGCAGTGCCTCCACTGATGCCCGCTGCCAGCGCTGCGTAGCCAATACCCACCATCTTCACTGGTGGTCAGCACACATCGTAGTGAGCAGTAGAACTCCTGGTCAAGGGGACAATTTGCATATTAGGTCTTTATTATATAGGATGGCCTCCCCTTTGTCTCAGTGGAACACAATTTAGGTTGCTGTCTGAACCTGTGTCTTCCGGGCTGCATCTCCTTTTGCTCAAATAAATGCTTTGTACTCATTACATTCTAAAATTAATTTCGGATTCCTTTTGTTTGGAGTTCTGTGTGCTTCCTGGACTTGTAAGTCTAATTCTTTCACCAGGTGGGGGAAGTTTTCTGTCACTATTTCTTTCAGTATGTTTTCGATATCTTGCTCTCTCTCTTCTTCTGGCACCCCCATAATTCAGATGGTGGTTCGTTTGAAGTTGTCCCAGAGGTTTCTTACATTATCTTCAACTTTCTGGATTCTTTTGTCTTCTTGCTTCTGTGGAGGAGTGTCTTCTGGCTCTTTATGTTCCAAATCTTTGACTTGATTCTTGCGATATTCTATTCTGTTTTTAGGACTCTGTATAATATTTTTTATTTCAGACCATGTATTCTTTATTTCTTGTTGATCCCTTATTATTTCTTGTTGATCCCTTATTATTTCTAGTTGATCGCTTTTCATACCCTCAGAGGTCTTATCGACCTTTTCTAGGAAATTCTTGAAAAACCTTATAAGTGTGGCTTTGAACTCTATATCCAGTCACTTCTTTTCCTCCATTTCTTTTATTTATGATCTGTTTCCTTGTCTCAGCATTTTCACAGCTTCCTTTAGTTGGTAGGGTGGCTTTGTGTCCCGACCAGCGGGAGATCAACGTGGGGGTGAGGAGGCACCTAGAAGGGAATGATAGAGGACAGGAGATGCGAAGAAATGGAGGCAAGACAGGGTTCTGATCAAGCCTCGAATTTTATTGTTGAAGCTGCAATATATATATATATATACACAAACTGTAGGGGGAGGTTGCCACGGGGACATTCCAAGGCCGGGCAAACTATGGGAGGAAGGGTCAGGGAGGGGACATTATAGAGATCTTCAGGAGCAGGATGTGTCGTTAAGCGATAAGTTATCTTTAGCTTCTGGCCAAACCGCAGGGCACCACATGATCTCTGGTGACTGTGAGTTGTAAGAGGAGTTGGAAACTTAACTCCCAAGATGGAGTTGTATTTTCTAAGATGGAGTTGCTTGTATCAACTCTGATGGCTCCCAACAGCTTTGTGGGCTAAGGTGTCCTATATGGTTCAGTGAGTTAGCCTCCCAGTTACCTGAGGTGGACAGTCTTGGTGTAGCCCTTTGTGGGTTGCGTGTGCAGTCTTGTTGTTAAGCCTTGCTTGTTGTTGGTATCACTGGGAAGCGTTGATCTCCAAGCCAATTGGCTGTGAGGATCAGCAGTGTCTCAGCTAGGAGGGTTTCTGTATTCTGCATGAATGGGGTGGAGTCTCGGGGTGGCACAGACAAGCTTTGTTGAATCCTGCACAATTGGTTGCAGGCACGCGCATCTCTTTGTATAGGTGCAGACAAGTTTTAGATTCCTGTCTGTCACTCCCTAGGAGAGTCCCATTCACTACGAACAAGAAAACTAGCCACTGGAAGGGCTTCTGTGCTCCGCTTGGATGGGGCGGGGTCTCCGGGTGGTGCAGACAAGCTTTATTCAGCCCCTCCCTACGAGGGTCTGGTTTCTGAGTCCCATAATAATGGCCTCTGGCTTCACACACCTCTGAGAGCTCTCTGCCCACTGCCTGACAGTCTGGCCTCTCCCTGTATGGGGCCATCTATCAGTGCAATAGGGTGGTTCTGTTTTCCTCCTGAACAAGAAAGCCAGCCGCGCATTAGCTGTCCGCCCTCAAAGAAGACCACAGCAAGACAAATCATAAATAAAATTCCAAGAGCAAAAAACAAAGAGAGAATATTAAAAGCAGCAAGAGAAAAGCAGGTAGTTACCTATAAAGGAGCACCCATACGATTGTCAGCTGATTTCTCAACAGAAACCTTGCAGGCCAGATGGGAATGGCAAGAAATATTCAAGGTGATGAATAGCAAGAACCTACAGCCAAAAATAATCTACCCAGCAAAGCTATCACTCAGAATCAAAGGACAGATAAAGAGCTTCACTAATAAAATAAAATAAAATAAAAAGCTAAAGGAGTTCATCACCGCCAAACCAGAATTATATGAATTGCTGAAGGGAGTTCTTTCAGAAGAGACAGTAAATAAAGATTAAAAACTAGGAACAACAAATACGTAACTATCAACAAGTGAATCTAAAAGCCAAGGGAATTAAAAAAAATCTGATGAACAATATTAACTGGTGAATGTAATAGAATCAGAGGTATGGAAGGGGAGTGAACTGACGATTCTTGGGGAGAAGGGGAGAGGGGGGTGCAGGAAGAGACTGAACATAAACTGTGCACCTATGGATGAGGACAATGGGGTGAGAACCTCGTGGAGGGGAACAATGGAGGGGGTGGGGAATGAGGAACATTTGTAATAATATGAACAATAAAGATTTATTTTTAAGAATAAATAAATAAAATTAATTTTGGTTTACAGACATATTTCCAATTTAAAGCTGGTATCACCCACACATCTCCAGGATCAACATTTTAAGTAGAAATGGAGTCTCATCCCTGGAATCATCGAATCTTAGGACTGGACAAAGCATTTTGCAAATCATCTTGCTCCCAGACTCAATTTTACACCGGATAAAGCATAAACCAACTCCAGTAGATAGAAATCTACCCAGAGTACAGTTGTATGACTACTTCCCTGAATGTACTTTAATAATAAACAGTTGTAACTGATGGGAAATAGATAGATAGATAGATAGATAGATAGATAATAGATAGACAGATAGATAGATAGATAGATAGATAAAGCTGTTATCACCAAAAAGATCTGGAGGAATAGCCAAAGAGGAGTCTTGGTAGGAAGAAGGAA